TCCACTCCTTCAAGAAGGACGGAGGCCAGCCCTCGAAGAAGACAAACAACACGTCGGCCCCGAATGCGCCCTCGGTCGGGGGCCGAGATCATGGAAGCCACACCCAGCAGGGCCGGAACGACTGCCAATGGCGCCCTCGGCTGGACATGCCGAGGACTCCCCTCATGCACCGGTGAGCACTATTCTCAACTATGCGGAAGAGCAGGACCTTTTCCCGAAGGACCCTTGGTCGGCGAGAGAGATCTACACCATCCACCAGGGCGGCACTTATTGTCGTTACCACAGAAGCACCTCCCACGATACTGACGATTGTGTCTCGCTAAAGAAAGCCTTTGAGCTCTTGAGTCTTGATTCAACAGGGTGAGCTCCACAAGTTCATAAAAAATACCCCAAGGAAAAACGCCGGGGAGAACATCGATAAGAAAGAAAGGGACACCTCAATGAAGAAACGTGAAATTGGGAGGTTCAGCGACGACGAGGAATTCGAGGAGCCCCAGCCGAAGAAGCGCCACCTCCGCTGAATCATGTTCTTCGCCCTCGGCCTCGGTCTTAGCCTCGAGCCCTCGACCTCGAGGCACATTATCATCCCCTCGGCCTAGAGCCCTTGATCTCGAGCCACTTATCTTAACAAAGCCGTTGTCAAAACAACGCACCCCTTGTATTCCGCTTATTTCTATGGATTTAAGTAAACTACCACACAACCCAGAAATCTTATCGGCCCCTTCGAGGCCAAATACCCAGGTATGGCCGATGATGTCTAAAGACGAGGGGCCTGCAAAAGGCCCGCGTTTTTGGAGCGAGATGCTCACCACGTCACCGGCACGCAATGCACGACGACAGGCCTGAAAGAATGGCTGAGGTGATGATATCCCCACACTTGGGGGGTGAAACGGCAGTCATCAGAAACCGACCAAGCCTAGCCCGTGCCGTAAATAGACGACGGGACCCCCCAAGGACAAGGGACGGTTCACCGTCGGGGGACTAACAGACGAACCCCCGGTCGGATCACTTGGACCCCCTTCTGGACGAGGCGGGGAAGCAACCTCCTTGGCGGAAGCCTGAAAGAAGGAACACACATCAGGAGGACTAACATACAACCTCCTGACACAATCAAGGGACAGCCCAATGTCGGGGGACTAACAGACGAACCCCCAGACGGATCACTTGGACCCCCTTTCGGCCGAGGCGGGGAAGCAACCCCCTCTGCCGTAGCCTGAAAGAAGGAACATACACCCGGAGGACTAACACGCGGCCTCCCGGAACTATAAAGGAACGACCCTCGGCCTCAACATGAGTCTACATCACAAAACGGCCCTCAGCCTAAACCTGATTATACATCATGAACGACCCTCGGCCTCAACATGATTCTACATCACCAACAGCCCTCGGCCTCAGCGTGATTCCACATCACGACGTCCCTCGGCCTCAACATCACAACGCCCCTCGGCCTCAGCATGACTCTACGTCACAACGGTTTTGGCCTTAGCGTGATTTCACATCACAAACGGCCATCGGCCTCAACGTGACTCTACATCATGAACGGCCCTCGACCTCAACGTGATTCTACATCAACAACGGCCCTTGGCCTCAGCGTGATTCCACATCACAACGGCCCTCAGCCTCAACGTCACAAACGACCCTCGGCCTCAGCGTGACTCTACATCACGAACGGCCCTCGACCTCAACGTGATTCTACATCACGAATGACCCTCGACCTCAACGTGATTCTACATCACAACGGCCCTCAGCCTCAACGTCACAACGGCCCTCGGCCTCAGCGAGACTCTACATCACGAACGGCCCTCGACCTCAACGTAATTCTACATCACAACGGCCCTCGGCCTCAACATCATAACGGCCCTCGGCCTCGGCGTGACTCTACGTCACAACGGTTTTGGCCTTAGCATGATTTCACATCACGAACGGCCCTCGGCCTCAGCAAGACTCTACATCACGAACAACTGTCGACCTCAACGTGATTCTACATCACCAATGGCCCTCGGCCTCAGCGTGACTCCACATCACAACGACCCTCGGCCTCAACATCACAGCGGCCCTCGGCCTCAGCATGACTCTACGACACAACGTTTTTGGCCTTAGCATGATTTCACATCACGAACGGCCCTCGGCCTCAGCGTGACTCTACATCACGAACGACCCTAGACCTAAACGTGATTCTACATCACCAACGGCCCTCGGCCTCAGCATGATTCTGCATCACAACGGCCCTAGGCCTTATATCTCTCCGACATCAAATATTTGATGTCAGGGGCCATCATACAGGCCCCTCGGCCTTCGCCCCTTCGGCATCTTTATTTGACGTCGGGGCTATGATACAGGCCATCAGCCTTCATCCCTCCGGCATCTTTATTTGATGCCAGGGGCTATCATACAGGCCCTCAGCCTTCATCCCCCCGGCATCTTTATTTGATGCCAGGGGCTATCATACAGGCCCATCGGCCTTCATCCCTCCGACATCTTTAATTGATGTTGGGGGCCATCACTTCGGCCCCTCGGCCTAGCCGTCATCCATCCAGCATCTTTATTTGATGCCAGGGGCTATCATACAGGCCCATCGGCCTTCATCCCTCCGGTATCTTTATTTGATGTCGGGGGCCATCACACAGGCCCCTCGACCTTCATCCCTCCGGCATCTTTATTTGATGCCAGGGGCTCTCACACAGGCCCACTTGGCCTTGCACCCCTCCGTCACCTTTATTTGATAACGGGGGGTCCTTACAGGCTCCTCAGCTTTTTTATGTAGGATCTAAGGCTGGTCTTGGATATCCCCTCAGCAGACGGACACAACCACCGCTCAACAATCTAGGCCGAAGGGTGCATTCCTTTTGCTTCATTCTGGGGGCATCCGGTGTACTCTTATTCCCTCATTAGGATTTTTCCTATAGGGTTTTTTCCTAATGAGGTTTTTAACGAGGCATCTCCCCATTGTGGAACAAAAGGCGTCACCCCTCGGCGGCTCCTGCTGTAGGCACGCATCACTTTACTCCTATTTCCCTCGAGAAACTCTCGGCAAAAGGAGTGGGGGACTCTCCTCGGCAAAACACGCAAATGTTAAAAATTTTCTATTTCTCAGCTACATCAAGCTGAGGCAAGATCACAACGACAATCTACTACCTTCAGCAAAAATAATCAAACTTGAAAATTCTTATTCTTCAGTTGCAGAAAGGGAGCCATCGGCAACTTCAAGACACTACTCCTATTTCCCTCGAGAAACTCTCGGCAAAAGGAGTGGGGGACTCCTGATGGAGTATATGGCCCAGGACACCCCGGCCCAAAGACTCCTGCTTCTTCTACACATGCCCATCAAGCCCGATGAGCACACAAAGCCCAAACGTAGCGGCCCAAGCATGAAGAAGCCCACGCTGCACACGTGGATGCCTTCGGACCTATGGCCGAAGGCTCCCAATTCTGGGAGACATCTTAATATGGTCCTGCAAAGCTTCTGGAAAATCTTGGCTAAAATGTTAGCCTTCGGCCACCCGATGCCTTCGCCCACCCGATGCCTTCGGCCCCCCTGATGCATTCGGCCACATGGTGCCTTCGGCCACCCGATACCTTCGGCCACACAATGCCTTCGGCCACCCGATGCCTTCGGCCACCCGATGCCTTCGGCCACACCATGCCTTCGGCCACCCGATGCCTTCGCCCCCCCGATGCCTTCACCCACCCGATGCCTTCAGCCACACGATACCTTCGGCAACAGAACTATCGACGAAGATTCCTTTTAGAGACAGCCAACCACCGCATTTAATACGGCGTCACATCCACCCACAGCATTTAATGCGGTGCACATGCATATGTCGGTGCCACCCCGATTGAGGTGACCCCTTGGCCGTTAGATTTTTGACACGTGTACTCTCATTGCATTTATAGCTGTTATAAATAGCAGCCCTTATTCACCTTGTAAAAGACAACGAGTTCATTTAATACATTTGACTCTCTCTCTTACTTACTTGCTCTGACTTCTCTCTAGATTATTCACCGTAATAACCCCTCGGATAAGCTACCCCCGAGTACACTATCCATCAATTTATAATCCTAATAATTTCGTATAATAATTATTATACGAATTTATTAGGATTATAGATAATATGATTGATAGAGTATATGGCTTCGGACCCCAATCTCATGACCATTGCACGTACGCTCAAGAGATAACATTTTCATTATTGTACATTTTTATTATTATTCGGATGTTCTAAATTAGTTTTTCATAAGGAGTATTATTAGTCCTTTTATGTTCGATCTGTCAGGCCCATATTAGAGGTCTAGACTCGAATTTTCCTATATATACTTCCATTGAGAGCTTGTAAACCCTAATCAATATTCAACTCACATTCACAATACACTATTCATTATCTTTCTCTCCACTTACTAGTATAGTACCCGTGCATACGCACAGGGAATAACAGTGGGTGGATCTACTTTTATCATCATCTAATTAAATATGAAAGATAAAAAAAACTTTTTAAGATTTTACATTTTGAAAGATTAAAAGTAAAATAAGTGAACAACATAAAGTACAAGTCCACATTAAAATATTAAACATAGAATATGTATTAGGGAAACCTAATTGAGACCATTCATTTGAATTTAATTTGCTACTTTTTAGTTAGTATCGTCGATAACATATACTCTCTTTGTGTCATTTCAATGTGTTCATATGGTTTATGATATTTGATTTACCATATAATTAATTGATAAGATTATTTTTAGGAAATTAAAATTACATATTCATAAACTATGTTCACACATTGAGTTTTTCTCCAGGATAGGTTTATACTATGTTCACACAGAACTACTTCTCCTTCGAGAACAAAGAACATTAGAACTAAGAAACTTAAATATCCAAATAGAAGAAGAATAGAGGTGTAACTTTAAACTATTCTTTTCTCTTTTTTAGTTAGCCTATTATTTTCTTTGGTAGTAAATAGAAGTTCAATATAATTAGAAGCCTTTTCATATAGGAAGAGCACTGTCAACACTAAAAAACATCACTTTTCATATTATGAGAGTACGTAAAACTATAGTGGGATTTTTTATGTATATACCTTACCTGCTACACTAACATTTAAGATCCTCTTTTACTTAATGGATTCTTCTTCTTCTTATATTGCAGTCCATTTTGAGCTTAAAATCCCATTCTTCTTATGCATACATCCACATGAACACCTGTTAGCTTCATGGGCTTGTTGTCATGGATGAACAAAAAAGAAAAAAAAAGACAGAATAAAACGAAACAGAAATTGACATGGATGAAAAAAATGAAAGAACAAAAAGAAAAAAAAACAGAATAAAACAAAACAGAAATCGACATGGATGAAAAAATGACATGGATTAAACAAATCTTTGATGCTATTGGTTAGTTTATTTAACTTAATTGTTCAGAAATATCCCATTTTTTTTGTTTCAATCACCTAATTCCCTATAGTTCAGCAAGTGTAGGCACTTCCTTAAGAAAATGTTCCCTATGATTATTTGATAGTGCCATCAAATGCAAGAACAAAAAGAAAACAGGTTGAACAAAACAGAACAAAAAAGGTGCCTTTCAATCCCTTTTGAGCTTAAAATCAATTTTTCTTAATACTTACATCCACATTAACAGGGCTTATATTCATTTAAGTGAATGTTTGATCGTATAGTTCAACATAGATGAACAAAGGTGGACATGTTGACATGGATGAACAAAAAAAGAAAATGGCAGATTAAAAAACAGATTGTCGAAAACAGAAAAAGACACATTTGAAGGAATGGAAAAACATGTTTACCTATGTCACTGTTAGGAAAAAATCAGTTTTTATTATACATCTACTTTCTCAGTGGATTATTCTTCTTATATTGCAATTACTTTTGATCTATAACATCAGTATTTTATTATACATACACTCGCTCAATCTATATTCTCATTTTTTAAAAACAGAACAAAAAGAAAACAGGATGAACAAAACAAATAAAAAAGATGCATTTGAATGAATGAAAAATAGATTTACTTAGTCCACACTAAGAAAAAAAACAGTTTTTAGTTACTCAGCCACTCACTAAATGGATTATTCTTCAATTATGGCAATTCTTTTTTAGCCTAAAATATGTTTTTGTCACATACAATCATTCAATATATATTATCCTTTTCTTTAAACAAAAAATGACATGGATAAAAATGGCAGGAAAAAAAGGGTGTAAGCAATAGAACAAAAAAATGCATTTAAAGGAATGGAAAACAGTTTTACCTATTCCACTTTAAGAACAAAAATCAGTTTTTTTCATAAACATCCACTCAATCAATGAATGCTAGACTGGACATCCAATTAAAATAATAGAGTTTATTTTCTATAACTTTAAGATCTCTAGTATTGTTTGTTTTTAATCTTATAGACCAAGAAGAGCAGTTTGATTTTAGAGGACATCCAATATAATAATATAGGGTTTGAACATCAAATGGTAGAAGATGTAAGGGAACAAACAATATTAATTATAATCAATTAAGAAGTATTTTTTTATTAGCTACTGATTATATTTTTTATATAATAACTTTGAATTTTTAGTGATTTTAAGATAGCAAAACAGAGTCTATACTAAGTTAAAGAAGTAGGTTTAAATTACGTTTTAAATTAGATTGCAATCAGTTTAAGAGCAGACCAGGATCATAAGAGGTTGGATGAACGCAATTACATTGATTCTCTGAAAGTAATAAAATGACTCTAAAACTGTAGACAAAAAACTAAACCTATCAATCTGTATTGGTATTAGCATATGAAATTCTTATTTTACGGAACATGGAAATCCTTGCTATAGTAACCTTTAGAAACTCAGAAAAGCTCACTATGCACAATAAAAGTAATATAGGATAAGCTCAAAATGTGTTTCGAAAAGTTTAAAATAAACTTTGAGAATGATTGCTATGAGTGTAGATAATATTGTAAGAAACTGAGAATAAACTAAATATAGAAACAACCAACAACCATAAAGAAGATGTGATGCCTGGTGCATAACCTTTGCATATTTTTATTAATAAAAAAATAAAGATCCTTGCTTTGTTTTTTTCTCTATGATAGTGCGAGTGTTTAGATGTAATTCTAGAAAGTGATTTCGCTCATTTATGGAATATTATTTACTTACATGTAGTAAGTGTTGGGCGTGTTTCGGAAAAAATGAAGAAATATTAATTAAATAAAATTAATTAATAAACAAAATAGCTAAAAGAAAACAGAAAATAAGATGGAATAGATTTTAGCCAGAGCTCGTGCTACGCACGAATGCACGATGTCCTTAAAACGTATTCGTCGCCTCCCACGGTGCTAGGAGCGTTGCAACGACCGTTTCCCAGGATACGGTGGCTAACGAACGATCATTTGAGCACACAAACGAAAGTTCCGGCGAACCGGAACACAGCAAGAACACTTAGGAAATTTGGGAGTAGCTGGAAGTGTTTTTCGCTCAAGAAAAACGTGAGGAATGTATTGTGCGTTGTTAAACCGTGTCTTTGTTGCAAAGCACCTGCCAGCCTTTTATAGGAGGATTTGTTGTGTGTTAAATGAGGTGTTAATGGACCTGAACGTTGGACATCAATGACCAGTCCGTTGGGCATTGAATCATCCATAATCTGTCCATTTAACGCTGCATTAAAAGACAAGAACGTTGGGCATTTAATGGCTGTAACGGCTTGGAGCAGTTCTGGTGCGCGATCAGAATACCCCCATCAGAGTTGGAGCAACTCTGATGCTACCAGAATACATCCACCAGAGTTGGAGCAACTCTGATGCGAAGCCACCAGAGTTGGAGCAACTCTGGTCTGAAGCCACCAGAGTTCGAGCAACTCTGATCCGAAGCCACCAGAGTTCGAGCAACTCTGGTCCGAAGCCACCAGAGTTCGAGCAACTCTGGTCCTGGGAAAAACAAAACGTCACGGGAAGAAACAAAAATTAGACCGTATCTTTGAATGATAGGTTTTCGGACGACATTCGTGTTCGCAGGTCGCCCGCGCACACGAGTCGCGGTTTTTCTTCTCCGTTTCGGGATTTGATCGGCAAATCCCCCCCCTGCGCGTAAGAGAGATCCTTTACCCTTAGGAATCTTAACTCCTTAAAAGAGGCTTCCCTTTACAAGGGGGTGAAAATCCCTTGAGTTTTTCGGTGTGGGATAAAACACACTAGAAACCCATCATTTTCCCAGTTTTTTCATTTCAACGAGTGAACTTCGAGAATCAATTTCTCATTCACCCGTTATCCGTTTTGAGTGTACCATATATCGAATTGTAGCTCTTAACAAGGACAATCCGAAACCACTTTGACCCGACCCAAATCGGAAGTGGACTCCACTCAAATAATTGCCCCAAAATGACCATTTAATGCAATTTTTTAACACATTTTTCCAACAATCCCCCACATGAATGAAAATTGATTTTCGAGACTTAAAAAGACACGAAGATAGGAGGACACGTTGTGTTCACTGGATGATCCTTGCATACGGAGAGGTATGTTTTATCCTTTGAACCTTCCGTTGTAAAGACACGTTTATTTACTGGCTGTCTAGTAGACTCGATGTCCTTGAACTATACTGCCGTCATGTAAACATTGACTTATGTTTACACAAGAACCTTCCAACTTTGTTCCGTTCTCATGGGTGTGCCCGTTTTGGCCATGGGTCACCGTCCTGGTTCTGCAAGAGTTTCTAAAGAACTGAGCCTATACAGTTCTCCTTTGAAGCGGCCCTCTTCTCTCTCACATAGGTGATTCTTTCACGAGTATCCCGCATACTCTTCCAATGTTATCGAGTAGATCAACATTTTAGAATCATTAAAGCAAACGTTTTTGCTAACCTCGTGCGGGAGTCACTGTTTTAAACGAGGAGTGGGTAGGAGTCCGGGACCCCCACAATGACCATCCTTCGCTCTATAATTTAGTTGTCCCTTTTGAACCTAGGACCAACTAGGTTGGGTATCCACTATAGAACTTTTCAATTCATGGGCTTTAGTCCCATTCCTCGTGACAACTTCTCCAACAATTCTCTATCCGATGCTTTGGTTAGCGGATCCGCTATGTTATCCTTTGACTTCACGTAGTCAACAGTGAGAACACCCGTTGTGAGGAGTTGTTTAATGGTGTTATGTCTACGACGAACGTGTCTAGACTTACCATTGTAGAGATTGATCTGTGCCCTTCCAATTGCCGCTTGACAATCGCAATGAATGCATATTGGAGGGACAAGCTTCTCCCAACTTGGAATATCCTCGAGAAAATGGCGTAGCCATTCAGCCTCTTCAGTGCACTTATCCAAGACTATTAGCTCAGATTCCATCGTGGATCTAGCTATTAACGTTTGTTTTGAGGATTTCCATGACACGGCTGCACCTCCCAAAGTGAAAACATATCCACTTGTGGATTTAGAGTCCTTTATGTCGGATATCCAACTAGCATCGCTATACCCTTCAAGTACAGCTGGATATCTTCAATAGTGCAGTCCAAGATTTTGGGTTTTACGTAAATACCTCAAAACCCTTATTATTGCCTTCCAGTGTTCATCACCGGGGTTGCTAGTATATCTACTTAGCTTACTAACCACAAAGGCAATATCAGGCATGGTACAACTCATTAGATACATCAAGCTTCCAATAATCCTAACGTATTCTACTTGAGAAATACACTCTCCACGATTTTTGGTAAGTTGTACGTTTTTATCTAATGGAGTCCTTGCCTCTTGATAATCATCCTTATTAAATTTCGTAAGGATTTTATCAACGTAATGGGATTGGCTTAGCGTAAGACCGTCAGGTGCTCTAATTATTTTAATCCCAAGGATTAAATCGGCCAGCCCCATATCCTTCATGTCAAATTTAGAATTTAACATGCTTTTGGTAGAATTAATCATTAGATTATTGCTATCCACGATGAGTATATCATCCACGTATAAACATAAAATGACATAGCCATCTACCGTGCTCTTCACATAGACGCATTTGTCACTCTCGTTTATTTAAACCCATTAATTAACATTGCATGATCGAACTTTTCGTGCCACTGTTTAGGGGCTTGTTTCAATCCATACAATGATTTAATTAATTTACACACTTTCCTTTCTTGGCCTGGAACACGAAAGCCTTCGGGCTGTTCCATATAGATTTCTTCGTCTATATCGCCATTTAGAAAAACGGTTTTTACGTCCATTTGATGAACTTCCAATTTCCACAATGCGGCAATTGCTAGTATCATCCTAATGGAATTTATTCTCGTCACAGGAGAATACGTGTCAAAGTAATCATGACCCTCACGTTGCTTGTATCCCTTGATTACAAGTCTGGCCTTGTACTTATCGATGGAACCGTCAGGTCTCATTTTCCGTTTAAAAATCCACTTGGATCCCAAAGGTTTATTTCCCGGAGGAAGATCAACCAATTCCCATGTGTGATTTTTAAGGATAGAATCCACCTCACTTTTGATGGCTTCTTTCCACATAGGACCTTCAGTAGACGTCACGGCTTCCGTATAAGTCCGTGGCTCATTTTCTACCAAACATGTTAGAAAATCCGGTTCATTTTCTACCATACATGTTAGAATATCCGAGTCAACTTCTACCAGGTAGGTGAGAAAATCCGGTCCGAAGGATTTTTCAATTCTAGCACGTTTGCTACGTCTAGGTTCGGGTTCTTCTCCGGATCCCTCGCTAGTATTTTCCATAGCTACGTCAAATGTTCGTTTTGACGTGTTAGGCCCTTCGTTGGACTTGCATGGAAATACATCTTCAAAGAATGAAGCATTCCTTGATTCAATTATTGTGTTTTTTGTACATCCGGATTATTCGAATCGTACACTAAAAACCGATACGCACTACTATTTTGTGCATATCCAATAAAAATACAATCCACCATTTTTGGACCTATTTTTATTTTCTTAGGTGTTGGTACAAGCACCTTAGCAAGACACCCCCACACTTTTAAACATTGATAGGAAGGCCGTCTGCTTTTCCACAACTCGTACGGAGTTTTATCATATTTTTTCTGGGGAACCTTATTTAAAAGGTAATTGCTTGTCAAGATTGCTTCGCCCCACATATTTTGTGGCAAGCCCGAACTTACTAGCATCGCGTTCATCATATCTTTCAATGTGCGATTCTTTCGTTCGGCAACACCGTTTGATTGAGGTGAATAGGGTGCGGTACGTTCGTGTACTATACCCACACTAGCGCAAAAGTCACCAATTGGTGCTTCATACTCACCACCTCGATCACTCCTAACCGTCTTAATCCGTCGATTAAGTTGGTTTTCCACTTCATTCCTATAAAGAATGAATTTATCGATTGCTTCATGTTTATTTTTTAATAAATAAACGTAGCTATAGCGAGTGCTATCATCGATAAAGGTAATAAAATATTTATTACCACCACGTGTTTGTATTGATTTAAAATCACAAACGTCACTATGAATTAATTCAAGTGGTTCCATTTTTCTTTCAACTGATTTGAAAGACGTTTTCGCTAGTTTTGCCTCTACACAAACTCCACATTTGTGTTTCACATCAATTGTGAATTTAGGAATGTGTTCCATGTTAATTAATCTACGTATAGAGTTAAAATTAACATGTCCTAATCTACCATGCCACACATTAGAAGACTCAAGCAAGTAAGCAGAAGGTATTTTATTATTATTATTATTATTAATAGTCATTTCATTGAGCTTAAACAGCCCATCAACTGAATATCCCTTGCCGACATACATTCCCGATTTAGACAAAACTAATTTGTCCGACTCAAAGACCATGCAGAAGCCATGTTTGTTCAACAACGAACCGGAAATCAGGTTTTTGCGTATTTCCGGAACAAACAAAACTTGGTTTAGAGTCAGCTCCTTACCCGAAGTTATCTTCAGGACCACTTTGCCCACGCCTTCCACCGCGGAATGAGCAGAATTTCCCATCCACATCTTTTCACCATTTGATGGCTCAAAGGTCGTGAATAGTTCCCGGTTTGAGCAAATATGTCGGGTAGCACCAGTGTCCACGAACCACTCCTTGGAATTGGATCCAACGAGGTTGACCTTGGTCACCACAGCCGTAAGGATGATGTCTTCATCCTTTTGCCCACCTTGCACCAAGTTCACGTGAGAATCTTTCTTCTTCCTTGGTGCCTTGCAATCCGAGGACTTGTGTCCATTCTTGTTGCAATTGAAGCATTTTCCATTGAACTTCGTCTTGGAAACGCCTCCCTTGGGACCGAGCTTACTCTTCCCATTATTTTTATTTTTGGAGCCTTTTGCATGCTCCACCACGTTGGCCTTGGCGCCATGAACAATTGGGAGTTTCCCATCGTTCTTCCGGTTATCCTCTTCAATCCGCAGACGGAGGATCAATTGCTCCAAGTTCATTTCCTTTCGCTTATGCTTAAGGTAGTTCTTGAAATCCTTCCAAGCCGTCGGCAATAAATGGATAATTGACGCCATTCGGAAAGACTCACTAACTGTCATTCCTTCATCTCGAATTTCGTTGAAGATCATTTGCATTTCCTCAACTTGACTCAAGACCGTCTTCGAATCCACCATTTTAAAATCAAGGAATCAACCAACAACAAATTTCTTTGCGCCGGCATCCTCGCTTTTATATTTGTGCTCCAAAGCATTCCATAGCTCCTTAGCCGTAGCTAGTTTGCTATATACGTCGTACAAAGCATCATGCAGCCCGTTCAGCACATAGTTTCGGCAAAGGAAGTCCGAATGCTTCCATGCCTCAACCGCGTTGAAAGATTGCACATCCACCTCACCCCCGGTTGCTACCGGCGCATCCTCGGTCAAAAACCTCGCAAGACTGAGAGTAGTGAGATAGAAGAGCATCTTTTGCTGCCACCTCTTGAAGTTTAACCCATTGAATTTCTCGGGTTTCTCCACAGAGTTGCTTGGCACATTCACCATAGGGATAGCCCTTTGGTTGGCCAAAGTAGATGCACCGCGTTGTGAACCATTGTTCACCGGTGCTCCACTTTCAGATTGATTATCGTTTGGCACGTTCTGCCCACCAACATTTCCAATTTCTTGCGAAGCCATTTTACCGTTTTCAACATTTTCCGAAACACACAAAAATTAAGTTCGTTCACCGAAGTGACAAACTACGTTTTTAGATTGTTTACCGCAGTACAACAACTAAGGAAAATACGTTTTATGATTGTTTACCGGAGTAGAACAATCATCGAATACGTTTTAAGATTGTTGGGTGTGTTTCGGAAAAAACGAAGAAATATTAATTAAATAAAATTAATTAATAAACAAAATAGCTAAAAGAAAACAGAAAATAAGATGGAACATATTTTAGCCAGAGCTCGTGCTACGCACGATGCCATTAAGGACTCTTAAAACGTTACGGGAAGAAACAAAAATTAGACCATATCTTTGAATGATAGGTTTTCGGACGACATTCGTGTCCGCAGGTCGCCTGCGCACACGAGTCGCCGTTTTTCTTCTCCGTTTCGGGATTTGATCGGCACCTGCCCTGCGCGTAAGAGAGAGCCTTTACCCTTAGGAATCTTAACTCCTTAAAAGAGGCTTCCCTTTATAAGGGGGTGAAAATTCCTTGAGTTTTTCGGTGTGGGATAAAACACACTAGAAACCCATCATTTTCCCAGTTTTCCATTTCAACGAGTGAACTTCGAGAATCAATTTCTCATTCACCCGTTATCCGTTTTGAGTGTACCATATATCGAATTGTAGCCCTTAACAAGGACAATCCGAAACCACTTTGATCCGACCCAAATCGGAAGTGGACCCCACTCAAATAATTTCCCCAAAATGACCATTTAATATAATTTTTTAACACATTTTTCCAACAGTAAGTCAAAATTTTAAGTGTTTGGATAAATCTCAAGTTTCACTTATAACTATAAGTACTCACCCGAATCAGTTTTTTTTGCAAGCTAATGTGAAGGTTAATTCCCTGAGTAACATTTATGCTTTAGAGTTTATCTTGAAAAGAAACAAAGATGACAAACAAAACAAAACCAGTATGAGAGTGACTGCTATAAACTATTCCAAGCAACTCAAATTAAGATATATGCCTACTTTTATAGTCTATTATGTTGTTGTACTTTAGCTCAAAAAACTGATTTAGAACAATGAATGAAAAAGTTGATATATTATATCCAAAAAATGTCAAATTCAACAACATGGTAAGCACAACCAAGTAAAAGTCTAATACTAACTTAAATGGAATTGTTTCAATAATGGCGAAAGTGAAAAAACAAAAAACACAGAAACACAGCATTTAGTTATGGTTTGTCATGAAAAAATATGCTTTTGAATCTAATACATAAAAAAGGGGAATACAGATGTTTGAAGGTAGTAGTTAGTTTTTTTTAATTTCATTGTTCAAAGGTGGCCTTGTTGTTCACATACCCAAACCTTACATGGAAGATAATAAACTTACAATTTGTAATAGCCCTATAAGTTCATCAAAAAACATACATCATTTTCCATGAAAATATATCATCTAAATTAAAAATAACTAACCTGATAAGTTGAATTATAAAAATAATATCCTTTTCCATATAAACATTTCATCGAACACCTTATATGCTTTATCTTATATAAATGTTACACTTCTTGCTATTAATGTTTTCTGGAAATATCATTTAAACCTTTCATCTAACCGAACACATACAACATATAAATTGGATATATGATTCATATCCTAGCACACTTAATTTCAATATCATGTAAGAATCGTACATTTTGAAGATGCAGAGTACAAAATAAATAAAATATTAATAAACAAATGATGTAAAGTTTCAGTGCTTACCGAAAACATGAGAGGAAGATCATACTCGGAAACAACCTTTTGAAGTACTCCATATAAGCCGCAAAGGGGTTTAGGGTTGAAAGTCCGGGGATCCGTTGAGGTTGTTGCGGAAACTTGATTTTTGGTGAGGGTTGTGTGTGCGTTGGAAAGGAGTGAAAGGTGGGGGAGGTGAGAATAATACGGAGATGGTTTTTCATTTTTTTGTGAAACGTTTTTGCTGTTTTTCAAGGATTTTTTCCATTCCAAGATGATGAAGCGACATGGCAGTACTGCAGCGAAGGAGTGAAATGCGGTTAGATGAACACGTAGTTGAGGATAAAATGGTCTTTAGAAGAGCTATCTCTTTTCTTGTATATAAATATATTAGCTCTAATCTCTCCAATAATTATATAGTTTGGATCCCTATTATCTATCAATGATATTTAAGAATGTGATAATTATATTTTCTTTAGACAAAAACAATTATCATATTGCTTGAAAAATAGTGCTAATATAAATATTAGTTAATGTTAAAATATGGATAATTGGATATATGACTGCAGTATATCAGTATATCACTAATTGACTTCTCACTTCTATATAGATGAAAATGACAAATGAGACTTGGATAGTGATTAATAAGGTACAAATTGCAAGTTAGAATGTTTTGATGTGAACTGAAATTTGATAATTTGATATGATCTGATATGGTTTGAATTGGGCTGATCGGTATCTTGATCCAAATGCTGTGATGGGAGTGAAAGATCCAAAAGAAAACATCCCAGAGCTTGTTTATAAAGCGGGTGAGTCCGGTACAGGAGCACCGACGGCGAAGTGTGAAATCGGAGTGAGAGGGACGGCGGTGATGGCTGCAACGGATGGATTGAGTGCTGAAAACGAAGAGTTTGTGTATCGAATCTGCACAGCCGAGGAGTGGGAGGCATTGCAGAAAAGCGGAAGTTCCTTTGGGGGTGACCTCGACGCCACTACTCGTTATATACATCTCAGCAAGCTGGACCAGGTTAACCAAACCGCTTCTTCTCTATGGTCATAACGTGTCATTTTTTAAACCAGTATCTCGTTAAACCATCCCGTTTATAATCCGCCCTCCATTTTCCAATTGATATGAGTCAGTATTTCTATGTTTAATAGGTTGATATGATTTGATTTATGTCATGAATCATTGCATACTACTATTTGGTTATTGGTCTTAATACATATCCCAGAGGGCTTGAAATCTGTTATGGTTTTGCAGATTCGATCAACCCTAGAGAACTTTTTCATGAACTTAAAAAAGGATCTATATTTGCTGCAAATTGATGCTAAGAAGGTCAAAATTGTCGTAACCATAATCTTTTTTCATTCATGATTTTCAGAACAAATTCATTAACGTGGATGAGTTTACTTTAATCTTTCAGCTAGGGGAGGGATTGGTTTATGAAGCAGTTGATGATTCTAGCATATTTCCTCATTTTTATGGACCATCCCGAAGCTTTAGGCCTCTTCCACTGAATGCAGTTGTGAGATGTGAGAAATTAGTTATGGCAGAGGGAAAATTTAGATGCAGTTTGCTGAGCTAAGTTTGCTCACTTGTTCCTATTAGATGTTTTGGTTGCATTAAACGCAACATGAATGTTCATTAATTATTTATGTTACTAATAGGTAACCTATTATGTATATTTGTACTAATTAATAACTTTAACAGTGGTTTGATATTTAATGTAAGCGGTTTGCATTCATTGTTTCAATAAACCGTGCAATGAATAATGTGCAATGCATATGAATGTTGTCTTCAACTTCTTCGGAATGCCCTAACCTTTTTATGCTCTATATGCACCTCCTTGTCATCATGCTATATTTCTTCTCTGCAAAAACAAACAGATCTCTGCAAGTTTCAAACTGAAGGAGGCTAAATGGATGTAATGGAAAGATTGTGCCGTCTTCCTTCTCTCTTCTTCCCCTTCTTTAGTTTCCCATTACTACTTTTAATTGGCCTTTTACTGCTTGTTTGTGGTCTTTCGGGTTGTAACCCAAAACCCGTCATTTTCAATTTCGGTGATTCCAATTCTGATACTGGAACATACTTCATCATGCACGGAAGGATTTCACAAATATCACAGACCCTTGCCCAATCCTTATCCATTCAGACACAGGGCCGTATGTCTGATGGACAATTAGTACTTGATTTCTTTTGTGAGTATACTACCAGCTCAGAAATCTACTTTTTTTCCTGCCTGAAAATGAAAAAATGTGTATTTGATGTTCTTTATTGTATGTATTTTATAGGTGAAAGTTTGAATGCACATTACTTGAGTCCATTCATGGAATCCATGGACGCTAACTTCACAAATGGTGTTAACTTCGCTATGAGCGGTTCTTCTATTACACCTGCTTCTGTTTTCTTCAGCTTGCAAAACCAAGTCGCCCACTTTAGTAGATTCAAACGACGTTCTCTTGATTTTGTTTCTAAAGGTTATATAGTTAATGCTAATAGTAACACATATTGATTAATTTATACTTCACAAGTTGCACATAATTTGTCATTTTAGCATATACTATGTATATTATTATCCAAAATAACTATCGTTTTAGAAATCCAATGCATATTTTGCAATAATTTCCCAAATTTCCCCATATCAAATGTTATTTTTCCTTGAAAGAAATAAGAAGCATTCATTGTTGAACACTTATGGGGACATGGTTTTCATTTTGTAATGTTCTGCGCACTTTTATAAAACGTCAATTGAATTGAGTCCGAAGGAATATAAAGCAAGGATGGTACAGTGTCTTTATATCTGATTTTGCCTATTCTGTAGGGTACAAGGATTTACTTGGAAATGAGGACTTTGAGAATGCCATATACGTCATTGACATAGGCCAGAACGATATAGATGCAGCATTTTCTTCTCAATCATATGTTCTAGCTGTGCAGAGAATTCCCTTTTTCATTTCTGAAATTGAAAATGCCATGTGGGTGAGCCCTTTGCATTAAAACACTCTAGTACTTTGAGGCACTTTACTTTGGAGTTTTTGACACTTTTAGTCCTCCGACTATTGTGTCAGTGACACTTTTGGTACTCGACTTTTAATTTTTCCATTTTTAGTCCTCAACTATAGTGCGAGAGACACTTTTGGTATCCGTCTTTGAAAATTTCCATATTTAGTCCTTCGACTTTTGTAAAAGTGACACTTTTAGTCCTTCAACTATTGCAATAGAGACATTTTTAGTCCTCCACTTATTGTGTCAAAATCATAGTAGAAGGACTAAAAGTGTCAATTTGATAATTGTTAGATATCTCAACAAAAGCAGCAGAAATTTACGATTTATTGAACTAGTGAATATGAAAGTCGGGTAGATTACAACTGAACAGGAAAGAACATAAAGAAAGAGAAGAAATCAGAACGAGACACTTCGAGCAGTCCCCTCTCCCAAGTCCCAAGCCTAATTCCAATTTCTCATAACTCCCTTATTCCCTCCTTCCCACTCTTATAGTAATCATATTCTAACGGGCTAGCCCATATTTTAAGACATGGCCCATGATCCTTATTTATACACTATCACACTTATTTAATATCATTCTATTACTACTACTATTATTGTTGTTGTTGTTGTTGTTATTATTATTATTATTATTATTATTATTATTATTATTATTATTATTATTATTATTATTATTATTATTCTTAACTTCAGCCTATGTTCCTATCATATCTCCCCCCTTAAACAACCACCTTGTCCTCAAAATTGGTGATAGGAAACAACCTTGATCTTCAACTTCACCTTCATCCTGGCACCCCTTCCTTCCCAGCACCTCACAGATAGCTGGAACACGAGCTTCAACATCTGAACCTGCATCATGTTCACTTCCTCAGCCCTGTTATTCTCTAAGACTTTCACAGCCTTTTAATATGTCTCGTTGTCCAGAATCTGGAGATTCGCCATCTTGTCTAGTGACTCTAGTCCATATACGTCACCCATCTGCGCATATAAATTGACCCCACCATTCAGTCCCTTTTCTTTGTCTGCCTTACCTACTTTCAGAATGTTCTCTAGCCCTTCCAGACACACAATAGCCATTCTTGGAGCTGGACATAACAAGAGATCACTGAACAGCTTGCCTCGACAGAAGTTTGACAAAGTGTTTGTAGCATTTCTCAACATAGCAAGCTTTGAATGCTCAGTCAACAAGGTGCTGAACCTCAGTCCGGAACCAGATGAGTCCCAAATTGCAGAAGGTACCAAATTGCAGCCCTTAACTGCCATACCAACTTTGACATCTGAGTTAGTACCAACTGATCCTTCAATTGCATTAGTTTGTGGATCATCCTCCACCATTTTCTTTGCTAAGGCACCCCGAAATAATATCACGCCTTCACCGACAAGAGTGTGGTCATTACTATCAACATAAGTAGCACACTTCTTCATCCACCTTCTCTTAGCAAGTGTGTTAACACCGTCATCCATTTTCCGATGCTTATCTATTTCCTTGAGAATCTTAATCCATTTATCAGCAATTGCAACATGGAACAAACCACCGAACTCTACAGCCCCATCTTGGACATGTATACAATCTGCTGGTATTCCTTGAACATTTTCACCCACAGTTAATGCATCTGTGAAGAAACTAGGCATGAGATCCTAAATCTGCTCTACAGGGAATCCTCAGTGTTCGCGCGCGCAAACCAGAGGCCATCACTTTCCGTTCTGACCTTCGATATTCCTTGTGCCGCTCCATTTTTTTATCGCGTGACTTAGATTGAAGCTTCCAAGGACAACTGCTCTGATACCAATGTTAGATATCTCAACAAAAGAAGTAGAAATTTACGATTTATTGAAGATGAAAGTCTGATAGATTACAACTGAACAGGAAAACAGAAAGAAAGAGAAGAAATCAGAACGAAACACTTCGAGCAGTCCCCTCTCCCAAGTCTCAAGCCTAATTCCAATCTCTCCTAACTCCCTTATTCCCTCCTTCCCACTCTTATATTAATCATATTCTAACGGGTCGGCCGATATTTTAAGACATGGCCCAAGATCCTTATTTATACACTACGTGACTACCACACTTATTTAATACTCCCTCCATCCCGCTAAGATTATCCCATTTTACCTTTTCGAGAAATCCCACTAAGATTGTCCCATACCAAATTTGGTAAAGTTTTTGTGGCTCAAAATCATTTTTACCTTATTCTTACTTTAACAATTTAATATCAACCACACAAGCCCACTTTTTTTAATAATCATGCCACCTTCTCTTGTCCCAATCTTAGTGGGAAGGAGGTAGTATCATTCTATTACTATTACTATTACTATTACTATTACTACTATTAGTATTATTATTATTATTATTATTATTATTATTATTATTATTAATATTATTAATATTATTATTATTAATATTATTAATATTAATAATATTAATATTATTATTATTATTATTAACTTCAGCCTATGTTCCTATCAATAATACTCAAAGGACTAAATGTGGGAAACTTGAAAGTAGAGGACTAAAAGTGTCATTGACACAATACTCGGGGGGACCAAAAGTGGCAAAAACTCCTTGAGTTTGCATTGAAATAAGTTTGGGGCACTTATTTGAGGATGTCTCATGTCTGAGCTTCAGGCCTCCCTCCTTCTAGTGAAGGGTGATTCAGGCATTCTCTGAAATTTTTTCTAATTTTTTCAGCCTTTTCTTTGTTCATATCCTTGGTCAATTGCATTAATATGTTTATTCTTTTGTTATAGATCTAATAGTTTCTTGGTGATGCTTCACATAGGACCTTTACCAGCAAGGAGCAAGGAAATTCTGGGTGCACAACACAGGTCCTCTTGGTTGCTTGCCAAAAACATTAACAAGCAGCACATTTCCTGCCAGTGACCTTGACCAGCATGGTTGCGTGACCAGTTTCAACAGTGGTGCACAGGTTTTCAACGATGTCCTGCGTCGGCTCCGTGACAAGCTTGCCCATGAAATGAAGGATGCCATCGTAGTGTATGTGGATATATATGCCATCAAATATGACCTCATCGCAAATTCATCCATATACGGTTAGTACTAGGGTCCGTTTGGTTTAGAGTTATCTAGCTGAAATGGCAGATTGTGTTTAACTTTTCTGAAAGAGAAATATCTATTTTAGGCCATGTTTGCGTTTGTTTGTGGGGAAATGTGATTTATAAAGATTTAAGCGAAAGTGTTTAATGATAAAAGTTGATTGTGTTTGAAACTCAAAATGATTTTAAAAAAGATGTCGAGTCTCGGAGAAAATGTAAATTTTGATTGATTGGATAAAATATTGTAAAGACGTGAAAAGTTGTTGTAGGCACCCTTTTCCATACTAGCACTTTTTAGCTTTAAAGTGCTTAAAGTCAACCACAAATTGTGACTTAAAGCACTACTTGTAGTTTTTAAAACCAAGAAGTACAAAAGTTGTTCTGAAAGGCATCTGCAAGCACTCCCGTCGTCAAATAAGTGAGTCCACCATTAGCTTCTACTCATTCTACTAATAAGCACGATAAGGTGCTACTTATCTAATCTAATAAAGCCTAAAGGTATGTGCAACTCAAAATCAGCTTAATTTCCAACGGCAGGTTTTGAAAATGCTGTGACAGCTTGTTGTGGCTATGGAGGGGGGCAATACAACTATGATCCCATAGTCCAGTGTGGCGTACCAGGGTTCAAAGTCTGTGAGAAGAGATCTGAGTATGTAAACTGGGATGGAATTCACTACACGGAAGCCGCTAACAAATTTGTTGCCA